TCTACTGAATGCTCTCCCTTCCTCCCTACTTTTCCTCTGCCACCTCCCACCCCACTCCCCCCTCCTCTCCGCGCAGCACATAGACTTCCTGTGTGTCCTGGCCTGAATGGTATGCACATGGAGTGGGTGTCTGGGAGGCCTTTCATCCGGCATGGAAAGAAAAGAGAAGTCAAGAGAGAGGGTGAAAAAAAAGGAAAGTGAGAGAGGAGAGTCATCTTTAATCTGTCTGAGTCAGAGCAGTTGTCCACAGGCGTATTAAGCAGGGTGAGAGGGCTTAGACTGTGCCAGGGATGTGTATGTATCGTCTGGAGGAGAAGACAGAGGCCTGCTGGGACAGCCTGCAGCCCGCCGGTTTGCCTTTCTGGGACAGATGACATCCGGTTGGGACATGGTTTGCATGGCTGAGTGACCATACTAAACTAGAGCAGGTTGAAAACAGTAGATAAATATTAACTAGACTGTTCATGCTCTACTGTGGGAAAGGGCTAAAGTGTAATTTGCTTCATGTAATTTGCAGAATTTGCAACGACAAATGACGACTGGAATGAGTCTTTCAGCTCCTGCAGCCTCGTGGATGCTTTTGGCGTTGTCAGACAGGGTGTAGCTGTCTGCTGAGTGCCAGGCCTGACTAGACCCTACCCGCACTGTGAAGGGGCACACACACACGTCTGTGTAAATACCTCATGTTATGGAAACAACCTACAGTTGCATTTGTGTGCACATGCACACACAGAATGTCAAGACAGACCTAGACAGGATGAGCAGTATTTAACAGAGAGCATACAGCGCCATCTGCTGTTTAGACTGGGCACATCGTCTCTTCTTGTCATTGCTCTTCCCCGTTCTCATGTACTGTACATTTTACCACCTAACCTACTTGTTTTGCACAAGCGCTGCTGTGTTTGCTGTGATTAAATTGGAATCCTAACAGGACGCTGATGTTACCAAGCCTGGTTCCACCTACAGAAAAACTATCTGAAAGGAATCAGATTCACTGGAGACTCTTTTGCTTTCACTGCATATTTATTTCAACACATTACAGTATATAGTTTGAGAAGCTGAGAAGAAGGCCTAAGGGCAAACAGTATGGCTGTCACACATTCCACCTTCTTAACAACAGACAATGTATTGGGATGTTTCAAATCAAACATGCACAAATCTGTCACAATGTAGACACAATGATTTGAAGAATAAAACAGTAATTATTCAACATTTCCAGCAGTTTCATTTGATAAATAGTCATATGAGAACACAATTTAAAAGGCAATAGTTTTCTTCCAGGAAGTAAAAGCAGAGAAGTAAAAACAGCAACAAAAAAACAAAAAATCCTTTTTTAAATGAAACTTTTACCACGTTTTATGAAATGTATCGTTTTACTTATGTTAGCATTGTTTGCTATTTTCTTCAAAGCAATGCAGACCTTAAGATAAAAACACATGATATCACACACATCTCAAGAAGCTGAAGTAGTAGCTCTGCTGTAGGCTGGATTTTAAAAGTTACACACACTTTCCTGCACTCTCACACACTCACTGAGCCGTTAACAGACACACCGTGCATCCTCAGGTGACACATGTACAAATCATTTTCATCTTGTGGCCGCAGTAAGTTCCTGGCATCAGAAATAACAGGTTTAAATGCTTCAGTATTGTTAGGAAACACCTCTGCAGTGTATACAAGGTGGGCGCTGTGCATGGCAATGAACAATACAGCTTGCATATTGATATGGTACTGTATATAATAAAAAACATTCTACTCACTCTGTCAACAAACCCACACAGGGAGGCACAATTAGTTAAAAAACACAACACAAAGCACATCTGTTTCCTTTTAGGTTTGTGTGGGTATTGCATGTATGTGTGTGTGTGTGCATGTGTGAGAGAGGGCGAGCTTGAAAAGCAAAGCTGATTTTGAAAAAGATACGGTGTTCAATAAATGTTTGGAAACTTAAGAGCTCAAGGTAGGCTTGCAAGATTTTGTAAGGAGACACTGGGAATATAAAACCAAGGTTCTTGAGTACGATTTGGCAGCACAGCACTTTGTTGTCCAGACTTTGAGCAAAATACTAAATTTGCCACCAAAAAAAATCCAGAAACAAAATCCAAATATCTCAAGTTTTGTCCAACATTGTCCAGTGTCACATTGAATCTGTCACTGTTTGTCACAGATGTGCATAGTGAGCCATGGTTCCTTCCCTGGTGGAAAGTTAGGGATGTAGTTTCACACTGATGTTACTACACCAATGTGCAGAGAAGATGACTGAAGTGAAGGCTTCATCAAGCACTTTCCACTGTGATGCTAAACAATGGGTGTTGTCCACTGG